ATATATTTTATATTTATTATATTTGTATATAGTAATTATGTATAACATACACTAATATATTAATTCTAGTTTTTTTTATTTGGTCTTTTTTGAGCCAAGGTCTCCCTGTAGCCCCAGCTGTCCTGGAACTCACTATGTAGACCAGGCTGGCCTTGAACTCATAGAGACCCACCTGCCTCTGCCTCCCGAGTGCTGGGATTAAAGGCGTGCGCCACCACACCTGGCATTCTAATTTTTATATAATGAAACATAACCTAAACATTTTCCCCATTCACTAAAGACACCTGTGGATGACACTAGCTTATGATTTACATTTTCATATTGTCACATGTACTAATTAGCTACAGTGATATTCAATAAATCCTTGTTTCAATGATCTTTACTTTTCTAGGAGAGGGTTTAATGATACCAGCACTATTGACATTTTGGACTGGACTATATGAAAGAAAACATCATATTTTGTCTTTCTTCATCCCAATATCCTCTCTCATTCTGCATTCCTCTAGACTTCTTTCTTGTCCCTCATAGCCTCTTAGCACCCCCTAAAAAAAGTAATTAGTCTAGCTTCCACATATGAGAGAAAACATGTACTATTTGTCTTCCTAAGTCTAGCTAGCTTATTTATTAGGAAGGTTGTAAATCATATATCAAAAAGTAACAAAAGGGGCTTAAAATTCTTAACATTGAATATGAAGGAGTTATATTTGTAACTTACATATACTTCAGAAAAGGTAATGATTCAAATGTCCTTCTTTCAATATACTGTATTTTATTCCAGGATAAATCCCTAGGAAAAAATAAAACAAATATTGCTTGATTAGGTATTAGATATCTAATTAGTATGAATAGTAGAATTTAGAATTATAATACTGAATACATTGCTTCTGTCTAAACCTTTGGATTTGAACTTTCTAGAGTCATTACCCTGTCCATCCTACTACTAAGAGTCTCATCTTTATGATCTTTATATATAAGTATGTAACTTTATATATAAGTATGTAACTCCAGTTCCTGGGGATTCGACACCCTCTTCTGGCCTCCACAGGCGTTACATAACATGGGTGCATTCACATACATGCATGCAGGCAATACTCATACACATAAAATAAAAATAATAAATAAAATATTTAAAAAGGTGTTTAACAGTAGAAATAATAAAAGAACTATTCCATTTAGGAGTTATTTCATTATTTCTCTCTGAATGTATTTGTATGGTTTGAGACTTCAGATGCAGAAGGGCCCCAAAAGACCAAAACCAAAAAGTCATCCACTAAAGGCCTAGAAGGAATTTTTTTTGAGGCAGGGTCTCCCTGTAGCTCCAACTGGCCTAGAACTCTCTATGCAAACCAGGGTTGCCTTGATCTCACAGAGATCTCCCTGTTTCTGCTTCCTGAGTGCTGGGCTATGACACCACATCTGGAAGATTTTTGATGACATGTTCTATATATCTACTTTCCTATCATCGACAATTGAAATTATAATCTACTTGTTAAAAGTTATCATTTATTAGCTCAATAAGGATTAAGGAAGTATACTACTTTAGATCCTATGGATAAAGGATAGAAATTGGGCTGGAGAAATGGCTCAGCAGTTAAGAGCACTGGCTGCTTACAGAAGACCAGGGTTCAAATCCCAGCACCCACATAGCAGCTAACAACCATCTGTAACTCCAGTTCCAGGGGATCTGATGCCCTCTTCTGTCCTCTGTGGGCATTGCACAACATAGGTGCAGTTGCATAAATGCACACAATATACATATACACATAAAAATAAAACCAAAAAAAAAGGGATAGAAATCAAGCTTTCACAGTAAACAACATAGTGTATTCTTATCTCTATACAAACAAAGTTACTATGCAAATATTCTTTCCTTGACAACAAGGTTGTTGAGATTTTACTGTTTAGTTAATGTTAGGGGCATTGCTGGTATGTTCACTTAGAATAAACTTTTCGAGGCATACTTTTTTTTTTTAAAGACAGGGTCCCACTGTGTAGCTCTGGCTGACCCAGAATTCTCAGAGGTCCAAGGGCCTCTGCCTCCTGAGTGGTATAAGTTTTTTGGTGTTTTTGAGATAGAGTCTCCCTGTAGCCACAGCTGGCCTGGATTTGCTATGGAGACCAGATTGGCCTTGAACTCACAGAGATCTGCCGGCCTCTACCTCTCAAGTGCTGGGCCTAAAGGCATGTGCCACCATGTCCGGCTTAGGTATACTTCTTAATCATTTCAAATATGTATTTTTGACATGGGCATTAAAATTCTTACACTGAAAGTCTTAACACAAGTCTGTTCTTCTAACAGGTTAATCATGTTGATAACATTATATAATTTATGGGGTTAGCTAATTATTTAATATTTCAGTGTTGAATTGAACTTAGACTAAATTGTCAGAACAAGCTGGATATGTTAGCGCATGCCTGTAATCCAAGCATTTGGGAGGCTGAGGAAGGAGGATTGCTGAGAGTTTAAAGTCAGCCTAGCCTACATGGTGAGACCCAGTTTCAAATAAATTAAGTATGGGATATACTCAGTTGGTAGACTGCTTGCCTAGCATATAGGAAGTCTCAGTTTGGATCCCCAATACTGCACAAACTGTGTGATGGTTCATGTCTATAATTCTATAATTCTAGCACTTGGGAGGTAAAGGCAAAAGAATCAGGAATTCAAGGCCAGCCTGGATTACAAGAGGTCATTTCTCAAAAAGAAATTTAAAAAAAATCAAAATATTCTGGGTTGATGACTTTCAAATTAATGCAGGTGGCTATTTTCTTCTCTTGAATACAGCTATTTGAAGTTAACATAATCCCTTCCATCCTATTATGCTGTCTTTAAAATATTTTTATTTCTTATGTGTACCTGTGTTTTTCCTGCATGTACATAAGTGCATCTGTTTCATGCAGTGCCCAAGAAGGTCAGAAAAGGGTGTCAGATCCCCTGGAATTAGAGTTAGGAACATTCTTATCTGCCTTGTGGGTGCTGGGGATTGAACCAGGGTCCTTTGGAAGAGCAATCAGTGCTCTTAACTGTTGAGCCAAATTTCCAGCCCCAGCTATCTTAAACCTTTTTGGTAAAGGCTAGATTAGCAAATATTTTAAGTTTTGTATACCACACAGTGTCTCTGTTGCACACTGTTTCTTTTTTTTTTTTTCCTTTCTAGCTTTGTTAATGGATTGAAGATGAAGTGTGTCTCCCAAAGGCTCATATGTTGAAGGCTTAGGCTGCAACTGGGTGCACGGCTGAGCAGTAACAGTTTCCCTTTCATGTTTAGAGTGCATTAACTAGCACAACTTTATGGAAGAGACTTCCGTACTTATCTGTATTTGAGCCCCTTGTTCATTCACAGATAACTTATAGCTCACAAATAAATATGAATAACTAACTTACAAATACTGAAGGGATAGCAGGCCTTCAAACGACTCCTTGTATAATTCGGTCAGGCGATTCTCACTGAGAATTCTGGAAGATGAAAAGGTTATCTGGGTCAAAATTCATCAAACAGATGGAGAACATCGGTGATGAAATGGGATGGAAAAGTGAGTGCTGTCACTACCCGACTGCCTAGACAATAGGATACAAATTGATACCACTTCTTTTTAGGGCAATTAAAATTTCATATCTACAATGGTGTACCCTAAAAATTCCATTTCTATATATTTATTCTATAGAAATATTTGCCCATGTTCAGAAAGATGTATACAGGGATGTTCGTCACAGCTGTGAGTACAACAAAGGAACCAGACAACGACATCAGCAGGGCAAAACATCTTGATGTGGACAGACTATGAAATATTATGTAGTACTTGATATAAATAAAATAATCCTTTGTGTGTTGAAAGAAACTTGACATATCATGAAGTAAAGCCATCAGGTAGCAGGATGTTATCCTATGTAAAAATGACAAGCCTATTTTGCTACATGAAAATAAGTCTGGAAGGATATATACCAAACTCAAGAGTAGTGGTTACCTCAGGGGTGAGGAATTATGGCAGGAGAGTTTGATTATCCCAGTTATTAATTTATATTCCTGTAATTATAGTGCTGGAGAGATGGCTCAGTGGTAAAGAGCACTGGCTGCTCTTGCAGAAGACCTGCGTTCAGTTCCCAGCACCCACATAGTGGTTAACAACTGTCAGTAACTCCATTTCCAGGGGATCCGACACCCTCTTCTAACTTCTACAGGCATTGCACACATGTGGCACACTTTTATACATGCAGGGAAAACACTCATATGCATAAAAATGAATACATTTAAAGAATGTGATCATAGATGACTTCTACATTGGAAGAAAAATTTTAATTGCCAATTTTCTTAAATTTAAAAAATTGGATTAAAAAAATTTGGATGGTGAAATGACTAGTGGGGAAAGACACTTGCCACCACCAAGCCTGATGATCTGACATCGATACCTTTGTCCCATACGGTGGAAGGAGAGAACCAACTTTGCAGGATGTCCCAGATCTCTACATGCATGCTGTGGCATAGTGTGCTCACATACACAGCCATAGAATAAATGGAATAATAAAATCTTTTGCTGTGCTGGTGGGGTTTAAACCTGGGGCCTCATGCATGCAAGGCAAGTGCTCTCTCACTGAGCTACACCCCAGTCCCCACAAAATTTACCAGAGAAATTCAATCCATACAGGTTGATTTGGGTTGGAGAGGAAACACCTTTTCTCAGAGGTATTTACCTCAAAATCTGGACCGAAGGATCTTACAGTGCAGGCTTTTTGTTTTGTTTTGTATTCAGATTTGGGGAGAACATACTCACAGTTTCTCAGCCCAGCGGTATGCTTTCCATACATTTTTGTCAATGTAAGAAATAAGATTTCCTTGGAAATTTCTGTGAAGAAACCAGTTCATATACTTGAATAAGCAGGAAATGAATGAGCAGAATCAGTAAAATAATTATTGCAATGTCCTGGGAGTATTCAAATGCAGAAAATAAAATTGACTTTCTAATTTCCAGAGCTCATCGGTCAAATTAAACAATTAAACAATGTGGGGCTACTGGCACAGTGAACCTTTCCTTAAGTTTAACTGCCAATCTGACCAATCTCTTGGTTAGAGAATGTTAGCTAATTGCTAAGTATTTTTCTCAAAATCACTTGTATTCAAACTGAGTCCTTCTACAAGTCAGTAAGAAAATAATCCAACACAAAAAACAGCAATATATATAATATATATGTAATTTATATATAATCACTATTAACCAGTAAGAAGCATTATGGTAGGTAATACTAAAGTTTTGCCTAAGTGCTTTCTATTAAAACATCTCCAGGTATTGGAAGGATGGGGACAATTAGAATGTACTGATGTGGAAAGAGCTCTTGGACATGTCACATAGGGAAAAAGCCCAACTCATCGATCAATGAGTAAATCTCACCACACAGGAAAAATGCAAATTAAATTGGAAGGACACATACCAAAATGCAAGCACGGTTTATGTTATGGGTGGTAGAGCATGGAGGAAGGGCTGACAAGGTTTTTGCAGGCATTTTCATGGTTTAGCCAATAAACGTGTATCTTTTTTCCAGTGGTAGAAATGGAATCCAGGGTATTGCACATGCTGGCAAGTATTCTAGCACTGTGCTACATTCCTAGCCCTTGGTCATTTTGAGACAGGATCTCACTATGTACTGCTCAGGCTGGCCTTAAACTTATGATTCACATTCTCTAATTCTCAAGTGCTGGGATTACAAGCATGGTCCACACCACCAAGCTTCTGTGGCTTTTAAAAAAGTAAGACTATATCCACATATGACACGTGCTTCAGGGACGTTGCTAAATAACTAATTTATATTCAATTCATATATACTTTTCTTGGTGGTGGTGAAGAAATAGGTCTGCTCAATCTGCTAGTGGACATATTCACTTAACCATAACCTTCTGATTTGATGCTCACCAACAAAAATATCTAAAACTGAATTCATCTTCCTTAAGTTACTCTCCTTCCTGAGTGCTATGTCCACCTGTTCAATCATCATCCTCATCTCCATTCAGGATAGAAACTGTGGCGCATATTAAATTTTCCCTTTATTTCACACTCCAGCCCCCAACTCTTTAGTCCGTTACTCAACCTTGTCTTCTCTTCCTCAAAGGATTCAGTTATTTTATTTCTCCCATTCCCATCATGGTCACAGTGACTCAGTCCTTGATTACTTTATTCCCAGATTTAGATAGAACCTTCTAAATGGTCTCCAAGAATTAAGCTTTCCCCTCTAGATCACTCCATATATTGATTCTAAAATAATTCAAGATCTGGGTGTGGTGACACATGCCCATAATCTTAGCATTTGAGAGGCTGAGGCAGGAGGATCACAAGCTGTAGGGTAGGCTAGAACAAGGTTCTGTCATTGAAAAAAATCCTCTTTTGGGGCTGGAGAAATGGCTCAACGATTAAGACCACTGACTGCTCTTGCAGAGGACCTGGGTTCAGTTCCCAACACCCACATGGCAGCTAACTGTCCGTAACCCCAGTTTCAGAGGATTTGACGCCCCTCTTCTGACCTCTGCAGGTATTGCACAACATGGGTGCACTTACACACATGTAGGCAATACACTCATACACATAAATTTAAAAATCCTCTTTTAATTATATTTCTCTCTTTCTTGGAAACTTCTAATGGCTCCCCATGTCTCATGGTGTGATTTTCAAAGTCCTATAGTGATATTCAGGTTCTTTCATAATATTTTTCATTGCTTTCTGACTCAATTCTTTCTTGGCAGACAAGACTACCAAATCCTCATCATTCCTCTAGTCATGCCTCTGCCTAGATTGTATTCTGTTTTTACTCTATTTAAAAATTATAGACACCCTTTGAACCACAGGTAAAATTTTAATTTAGCATTCCCTTTATTCCCATATATCATTTTCATGTTCTGGGGACAATGCCATACATATGTATATGTGGCTCCAATGTTTCTTAGTGCTGAGTTGTGCCATATATACACACACATATAGTCAAGAACAAAGATGAGTTCTGGACAAAACTGAGATATTGTACAATATTAATATATATGGTAGATAAGTGTTACATATCCCCCCTTTTTTTTTTGGTCTTTTTGAGACAGGGTCTCCCTGTAGCCCCAGCTGGCCTGGATTTGCTATGGAGACCAAGCTGGCCTCGAACTCACAGAGATCTGCCTGCCCCTGCCTCCCGAGTGCTGGGATTAAAGGCATGTGCCGACCATATCCATTTCTTATTTAACTTTATTATATCACTGCTTAACTTTTACTCTTCCATTTTTACTCCACCTCTTTACAATTCATCTAATTAATCAGATGTGCCTCTGGCGCAGGTACTTGGGAGTAGCCTCTGCATCACACCAATCCTATGAAATAGCTATTATAATCCCCATTTTACAGGTGAGGGGTTAACTCACAGCTAAATACTTTTCCCAGGGTTGCAGAGTTTCTACCTGAAAGACCCAGGTTTGAACCCTGGAAGCCCAGCTCCAGAGTCTACTCTAACTACTTTCTTGCATCCTCACTAATGAGATGAGTCATAGAGAGAGTGGAGGAATAAATAAAAGCAAAGGTTAAGCAATGATATAATGGAGCTAAATAAAAACAGATCTGGAAAAAGGAAAGGTTCATCACAAATAAAAGATTGGCGAGGGGCACTGTAGTAAGAAGAATGAGGACAGGAAAAAGTTGACAAGCAAAGGTCAAGAGCAGAAAGTGAGTCAATCCAGGTTGTGGTGATGGGAAAGGCCCGATAAGGCCCTGAGGAAAAGGTTACTACATCAGGCAGAATGCAGAAGAGAAATAAGAAAAAGTGATTCTTACAAGATGGTGAAGGTGCCGTTGTAGGTTCTGGGCTCTGGCACAGGCACGTGATGGAGCCTCCACACTGAGCTGAGATGATCACACAATAATGTCTCGTTTTCGCAAATACAGAGCTCACAAATGTTGGTGCTTATAATGACATTTGGATTAATTTGCGTTGTTGTGCCAAATTCCAGCTCCAAAGGTTGAACTCTGGCTTCATTTGTAATTGTCACTTCAGAATGTGAAGCCTCTATTACAGTTCCTGATATTAGAACTGAAGATTGAGCAGCAGTCAAGAGTGGCTCTGTAGATTGACCTGTGGCTTCATTCATAGGTGCAGAATGACTAATTACTGTAGGAGTTATGTAATCTGGAGTTGAAGGTTGAATTGTGACTTGAGTTAAATTTGGATGCTGGTCTGAAGGTGGAAGTGTCACCTCAGAGTATTTTAGAGAAAGACCTGTGGTCATTGAGACTTCAGAATGTGTCATCCCCGGAGGAGCTATAGCCGCTGAGACTTCAAAATGTGTACGCTCTGACAGAGCTGCAGCTGTTGCACCTTCAGAATGTGCAGCCTCTGTAGTTGATGAGCTTCGATGCTGAGCTCCATCCTGTACTGATGTTAGAACTGTTGTTTCATAATTCACTGTAGTTTGAACTACAGTCTCCAGGGTAGACACAGAATGTGTAATCATTGTACCAGGTTGTGGAGTTGTAAAATTCTATGAGAGTGAATGTTGAAATGTGATTTGAGTTGGGTTTACATACGGAGTCTGAACCTCATCTGGAGGAAGATGTTGCTCTGTCATCCCAGGAAATGCTGGATGCCGGGTTTGATCTTGACCTGGCATTGCATCCATAATTTCATGTATCACTGGAGCTTGAGCTACAATCTCCTCAAGTGGCTGTGCAGGCTCAGTAAGGATCTCTTCTGTAGTTGCAAAAGGCTGACCATATGTATTGGTTGAAGTTATAGAAATTTCCAGATCTGAAGATTGAACTGTGACTTCATTTGGGTTTGGATGCTGAACCTGTTCTAAAAGTGGCACCTGAGGGTACTGTGGAGGAGGACCTCTAATCTCGGGGGTTGTAGGAGACTCTAAAGTTAGGGCGAGTTCCAGGTCCAAAGGCTTAAACGTGACACTGGGTGTTGTTGTAGAATGGTGAGTCTGTGGGGTTAGGGTGAGTTCCAGGTCCAAAGGCTTAAACGTGACACTGGGTGTTGTTGTAGAATGGTGAGTCTCTGGGGTTAG